AGCCTTCTTTATTAGCTAATACCTTAGCCTTAGACCTAGGCCGCTATAGTAGCTACCTAAGCTAAGGGGTATTTAATTATAGAAAGGTAAGTCCTAAACTAATATAAGTATTAGCTTATAGTTTAGTAAGACTTAATTAATACCCCCCTTAAGTAATATAAACTAAAGAAAATATTATAAGTAGTTAACTAATACCTTTAAAGTAAAAAAGATATAGTATTAATATAAAGACTCCTAAGTAAGAATATAACTATTATTTTCTAAGAAAACGCCGTGCCTAAAAAAAGTAAATAAGCTTAGCTCTAATTAGTATTTAAAGTAAAAGCTACCCTTATAAATAAAAGCCTAATAGTTATTATTAAAGGGGTTAAAGTTAAGGCGCTAAAGAAAGGGGGAAAGGGTATTAAAAGGGAAATTATAAGGGCTAATAGCGTCTTTATTATCTAGCTATATATAAAGAAACCCTATATTAAACATATACTTAAGACGGCCCTTATCTTAACTATAAATAGTATAGACGATATAAATTAACTCCTTAATAAGAGCGTAGTAATTTAATTAAAGATCTTTAATATAAAACTATATAAAGAAATAATATAGCTCTACTAGTACTTTAAGTACTACTAAATTAAATATATTACTAAGTACTATAGTATAAGGGCGATTTATAGTTAGTATATAGTATCTATATATAAGGGTAGTAAGGATATATATTAATTAAAAACTAAGGAGGTCCTTATTTAATACGCGCTTTATTAAGGTATATACTTAGTATAAAGCTATACCTATCTAAAACTATAGAAGGTATAGGAAGGTACTTAGGGCGCTTATTTAGTAAGGCTTAAGAGGTTCTAAGAGCGCTAAGTAGTAAAGGTAAGGCCTTAAGCTAAGAGGGGGGGTATAGAGTCTATATTAGCTAAGAGGCTAGTAAAGAGGTAGAGATCTATAACTATAGCCTTAGAAAAAGAGAAAGAAAGCGAGAAGAGGCTAAGGCGGCCGTTTATGCTTAAGAGAGCTAAGGCCGCCCTAGGGTAGAAACGATATACTCCTTTAAGGAAATCCGCTAGTAAGCTTAAATAATAGTAAATAGCGCCCTTAGATTAGCTAAAAAGAAGGACCTTTAAGAAGACTACTAGCGCCTTTAGCTTAATTCTTAACTAGCTTATATCTACTACTAAAAAGGTAAGTATTAATAGTCTAAGTTAAAGTCTAAGAATATATTAAGACGCTATATTATTTAATAAGATAATCTACTTTATTAATTATAAGGTACTAAGTTAAATATAAACTTTAATAGGAGGAAAAGTAAGTAGTTAGTTTTTACTTAAGTAAAACGAGCTATAGTTTCTAGCTACTAAGAATATATAGCTTTCTTAAATACCTTTAATAGGTCCCTTAGTATAAATTAAATAATAAGTATAAAAAGGCTCTATAAAATAAGCTAGTAGAAAGAGGTATTTTAATACGGTTTAAGGGAATAACCCTTAAAGATAAAAGATATTTATTAAATAATTATAGCTTCCTTTAAAAATATAAGTTAAGATAAGCTTATTTTAGGAAATAGAAATATATATATAATATATAAGTTAATTATAAGTAGAATAGATACCTAATTACTTAGAGATACTTAAGTTTTATTTCTATAAATATTAGTATGCTTTTTAATAGCTATTTAAGCTAAGCTAGTAAATACTTAATGCTTATTTATATATACTTTATTATAATAGTTATTAAGACTTTAATTACCCTTTACTTATAATATTAGCTTTATATATAATATATATCTTATATATACTTTATAGTAGGATCTAATAGTATAGTAATTAGCTAGAAGTTATATTTCTTAGAAACTATTAAGTAAAATAATATATCTTAGTATACTATTAAGAAAAAGGTCTAAATAATTTAATATCTTTAGGCCTCTCTAAGTAATATAACTTAAAACTAAGTAAGAAGGGAAGTCTATAAACTATTATTTCTTCTTCCTAGACTACTAAGGGGTCTAGAGGATCTTTTATTTAAACGGGGACCCTTAAGGAGTCCGGTATAACTATTACTAGCTCGTAGACCTTAAGAAACTAAACTATCGATTTAATAGCTAAAAGAGCTATTTATTTAAGGAGATAAAGCTAATATTACTAACGTAGATAACTAACATAGCCTTTAATAAGTAGTAAGAAGTGCCCTCTTCTTAATAGAATATATACTATACCTAAAAATAAGATAGTACCTTAGGAGAAGCGTATAAGGATATAAAAGACGCTATTTAGATACGAAAGGGGTAGCTAAAGTAAAGTAATTAATATATACTTATTATAGACTATTAGACTATCTAGGAATCTACCTATAAAAAGTCCCTTTATTTGCTTTTATACTTACTTTTAATCTCTTCTTTACGAGAATACTTAGGGGGCTTAAAATTAACTATAATCTCTAGACTTATTAACTATAACTAAGAAAGAAAAGATACTTATAGATACTGCTTTTTAATAGGGAAATAAGGTTATTTAATATAACTATATTACTTTATTTAATATATAAACTCCTTGCTCGAGAGTTAATATACCTAATTATTAGGAATCTTATTATCGCCGCTTTATAAGGTATATATAATTATATTAATTACTTAGTCTTCCTTAAAGCTATCGCCGTTAGTATTAATAGCTATAAGTTCGATGCCGTTTACTTCCTATATAAGTGCTTAGCGGCTAATCGCTATATGCCTCTTATAATACTTTTATATATATATAACTTTATAGAGGTAGTATAAGGATAATCTATTTAATTATTAGGGGTATAGCTTAAAAACGGTATACTTAGTTCTACTAGTAATCTACGCCTAATTATAGGTATATCTTTTTTTTCCTAGTCGGCGGCCCGTTTATTAGTTAATAAGCCCCCCCCCCCTCCTCTATAAAGCAGAGGAGGAAATTATAGCCGATTTTTAGGCCCCCTAAGTATTGCATGTTATAGTAGTTATATCCTTATAGTTACCTCACCTTAACCGCTTTGAACGTACATTAAGAATTCGAAGAGGCCCCCGCAATTTACTGTCGCATTACCAATGCATCCATACGGGCATCCAACTCCTGCGGGGAATTTCTTTACACCAGACTTAACTATATTAACCTTATCCCCGCAATAACACTCACGAGCAGCCCTTAAACCGGCGTACTTAAAACCAGTTCTCTGACACATATCGACGCATTTATCTGGGGTCAAATCTTTATAATGGAGCCCATACTTAAGGTAAGGAAGAGCCACCTTAATGCCGTTACTAACAGGATAGCAGCCGTCGAATTTCCATTTGCCAATTTGGTTTATAATTTGAGGAAGAGCATTAACGTTAGCAGCTACTCTAACAATAAAAAGAGCAAAAATCTTGGGTTCCATTATAAAGTAAATATAGAAGGAAGATAAGTGTTTCTTTAGCTTATAAGAGAGAGGGGGGATTTAACACTATTAAAGAAAGAGGATAACTTAGTTAAAGAAAAATAGTTATTAGTTACCTACTACGAAGGAGGCAGATTTTAGCGAATATTACATTCCTACTATTCTTACATTCTTACTATTCTTACATTCCTACTGTTCTTACATTCCTACTATTCTTACATTCCTTATAAAAATATAGGATTCATCCGTAACTGCAATGTTTACCTTAGCAGTGTGTTAGACATTTAGCTCCACATAGGTCAGAGATAGCATCAGGCAATTGATAAGAATTATCTCAGGAACAAGAAGTAAATAAACGAACGCACAGAGTTATGCAGCTCTTTATACATAAATAAAAGGTCTGTCGCGTAATTACGTAGTAACGGTTGCCTAGCAGGCAGCAGCGGCGTTGCGAGTAACATCGCCACTTTATAAATAATCACGCTAGGCGGGCTTGATATGCAACATACCCCCTAGCGTTAAGTGATCAAGTCAACGTTGCTAGAAGCTATCACAACCAGCCTTTTCCAGTCAGAGGATCATCGTTATCCCACTATGGTCTTTTTTCCTAATTTGCTTCCCTTAAGATATCTGTTAGATTTTAGCATCGATCGGAAGTGCTCGAATTTCGCTCTATAGCGCTTTTGTCAATCCGTCTACTAGCATCTAATCAGTCTTTAAGTTTTCCACCAAGAACCTACCCTTCTTAAATTCCTGCTTTAAGTATATATTCTGGATGTTAACGTGCCGCAACCTCGTCATCATTCTCAAGTTCTCCTTAACCACTAGTCGGATCGACTAATAGTTATCGCAGTAAATCTTCAGAGGCCCGAAATTAAGAGAGATATCCCTTAATAGTCGGTCTAGGGCGTAGCCCTCCTAGGTTATTCTCTCTAGGCTAAGAATTTCTGCTTCGGTGGTCGAAGTCGTGACTGTGACTTAGAGCCTAGCTTTCTATATAAGCGGTCCGTAAAATAGCATTATTATATATCCCTACGATAAACGGCGGGTCTTAATATTATCTCTTTATAACGCGTCGTTTACGATCACGAGTGCCTCTCCTTCGTGCGCTCTATCGTGTATAATCGCTAAGAATCTCGTTAAATAGAGGTAACGGATGCATTAGTTAGCTACTTTAAGGTGTTTAGGCGATAAGTTTATTTAGAACCTGGCGAGCTAGGCTGCTACTCGTGCTATATCTGGTCTAGTTATGACCGCGATATATAATAAGGATCTAACTCGTTCCCAGTAGGCCTTTATCTCCTCCTTGGTATCCTGCCCGTTGTACTTAACGAGTGGGATCGTCGTGATAGGCGTGATGGGGATTAGTAGTACTCGGAGTTTTAAGTCGTTAAGCTTGAACTTTCGCGCAATTTTCTCGATATACGCGTCTTGGCAGAGGTACATTTTCCTATTTAGTCGATCCCTTATAACTCGGATGCCAAAATACCACTTAAATTCTTATTCGCGTAGATCGTATTTAGACTAGAGATATTAGATAAGGTCATTTACCGCCTTCTTCTCTTGCCGTAGGCCAAGAATTATAATGTCGTCGACATAGATAAGAGCTATGTTTTGCCGTTGGTAAACACGCAAGGTTCTTCATCCGTACGGCCAATCCCTGCCTCCTTGAGCCTGGAGATCTCACTGTACCAGAGCAATGGAGACTCTCGAAGACCATACAAGGCCTTGTCAAGTTCCGCGATCATGGTTGAGCCTTCCCCAGGTTTCAAGAAATCAAGTTCTACGAAGCCTTGCGGGAGCCAGACATAGAACTCTTACGTCGGCCTGCTTCTTTTCATCGCAATCGCTCTTGAAGTGGCCGGGCTTTTTGCAGTATAAACAGAGGTTATTAGTAAAACGGTCCTCCCTCGTAGGTCTAGCTTGGCGCGTAGCGTCCAGAACCATCGGATCGCCAGCGTCAGCCTATTGGCGCTGTTGTTGGGATTGCTGATGTGTTTGGCCTTGGTAGGGTCAACTACCTAGACGTACTGAGTACAGTTTGTCCTATGCGCGCCGAACCACTTTACTACGGACGCCGCCTTACGGACGCCGTATGGCTGGCCAATCCGAATCGGGCAACTGATCATCTCCCAGCATTCACCTTGCCCCTTTAAGTATAGTTCCCTGCGGACCTGCCCAATTCTATTAGAAGGGCCATCTATATTCTAGCACTCCCCAACCTCTGTCCCCGCTACGGAAGCGACGTTCAGCTGTCGACTACGAGATCTGTTATTTTGCATTTACTTAGACTAAGACAGCGCCGGTATGAGTAGATACATGACCGTTACTGGCCCGTCTGGTGGCGATGCGCCGATACCCAGGTATCTTATAGGTACGGCCCGGTGACAGTGTCAAAACTGTCACATGACTCGCAGAACGATCCAGGCATACGGTGGCGGCGATTAGAATAGGAGAGCGTGTCTGAGGATCAGAAGCCGCAGTCTTTAAATTCCACCAAAACATAAACAACCATGTCCTCGAAAGCGGCCTACTCTTTCAGCGATTTCAGCCGTAGCAAGTTTAGATAATGAAGAAAGACGCTAAGACTCTATTAATATGAGAATATAACCGAAACCGCTAGAGCAAAAATTGTCCGGATGCAGTATGGTATACGGACATGGACATCTTATAAGTGGTCGCACGAGACGAGTCTCCTGCATCGTTATTCTGACTCCGTAGCCATTCTTCGCTTTTAATTTTGTGGCTACCAGCGACAAGAGCACACAACATTTCACCGATTTAAATCGTGGAAATGGCGAGCATTCGTAGAATATGTTCTTTAATATAGCTAAAAGCAAATCAGCCACACGGCGTCTATAAGGCGGCGTCCGTAGTAACGTGGTTCGGCGCGCATATTAATTGCCTTCTTTTAAGTATTCTCCCTGCTATAGACGCTATTGCCAAAATTATCGGAGCTAGACGTCTAGGCCCTTCGCGTGACTTCTATGCTAAGTTAGACGCCTACTTATGCTAAGAGAGCGTATAGTATTCTCGAAGTATAAAGAATAAGTATTAGCCGCTTCGAATTTATTTTCTCTTACTACCTATTAATTAAGATAGCTTAAGGATAATACGTAAAAGGCGCTATAGGGACTAGCCCTACGGTACCTATATTAGCTATAGCGGGGAGTACGCTATAGCTATCGCTAAAGACTATAGATTATAAATAGTCTAGACCCTTAAGGCGTTATATATAAGAATAGCGCCTATAAAAAGTCCTCCTTAATATAGATTATCTCTTTTATACTCTTTATATCTAACCTTAAGTATATTAAATTAGTAGGAATTCTTAATTTTATAAAAGTTTTTATTTTTATAGAACTATTAAGAGAATCCTCTTTTTAACTAATAGTAGTACTAGTATAGTACTAGTAGCGGCCTTTATAGTTATATATACTAGTAGTATTATATAGTACTAGCGCTCTTACTTAATATTTATTAGTAGGAACTACTTAATACTAATTAATTATTTTATTTATAAAGTAGTCTTTAAACCTTAATATTACGGGATAGAAATTACGTAATATATTACGTAATATCTTTCCCTTATATAGATCGTCTAGCTAAGAGAAGGAGAGATTCTCTTCTTTTCTCCCTCTTTAATTTTATTATATAATAGCTAGGTAGGGCGGATAGGTCGGCCTAGGCAGGGGGCTCGAGGTAGAAGAAAGAGAGATATAGAGGGAGACGGTACGAGATATAAGGAAAAACGCAGCTAAAGAGCGACTATAGTTAGATAAAAAGGGAGAAAAGATAAGAATCTCTCCTTCTCTTAGCTAAACGATCTATATAAGGGAAAGATATTACGTTATATATTACGTAATATATTATATAATTTCTATCCTATAATACTTAACTTAGAAATTAATAAGAATTACTTCTTTAATAAATAATACTCTTTATACTAGGTACTTAAAACTATTATATAAGATACTTTATAAATTCTAAACCTAGAAAACATTATATATTATATAAACTCTATAAAATAAAATAAAATAAAATAATATTATTAAGTAATTTAATTTTAATTTAATATAAGTAAGCTATTAATACTTTAAGTACCCCTTAGGTTCTATACTATAAATATATATATAGATACTTAGTAATTATTAGTAATATAACTAATAACTTATAGCGCTTATAAGTATAAGAAGGTATAAGTAATAAGCGTAGGATCGGGTAATTGATAACGTAAGCGGAAAGATAGGTCGAAGGAGTATAGGGTAGGATTTCGTCCGGAATTTATAATAAGTATATAAGGGGATAAATAATATATTAAAAGAATAGCGTTATAAAAGATACTTATAAACTTACTTATTATATCTACTACTCCTAGGGAAATCCTTCGTCTTTTATAGACTATTACTCGCCTACTAGTAGACTAATTAGTTAGCTTTCTAGTATATTCTATAGTGCTTAAAAAGCTCTATCTATAGTATATTTTCCGAACTTAGTAGGTGGTCTAATTATAACGTAATAGTTAACGTAAGACTATAGGTTCTAGTATAAGTAGTAGATTTTATTACGGAGTAGGTAGAGGCGTAGGCTTAGGTGCGGTCCGTTAAAAGAAGGTTAATAATCTACGAGGGGGAAAAGGAAGAGAAGTGCGGGCCTAGCCTATATAGGCGCGGAGGCCGCTTATATATAGACTTAGCCTAGACCCTAGTCTAGGCCTATATAGGGCAAAAGCCCTTATAGATTTAACTAGAATGTTCTATGCCCTACCTATTCTTGTATCGCGGATATCTTCGGAACCGCTAGGCTAAAATAGGCAATAGGGTATCCGTTCTGCTCGTAATTAACTTATGCATTTTATGCATATTTTATTTAATTAGGATAGGCTTATCTTAACCCGCTTTTCCTAAAGGAAGGTATAGATATCTAGTAGAGGTCTTTATCTTTAAGGGTTATTCCCTTAGACTATATTATAGAGCCTCTTTTTACTAGCTTATTCTATAGAGCCTCCCTATGCTTAGTATTTCTTTATAATAGTAAAATAGGAATATAAGGGTATATTCTTATATATACCTATAATAATTATAGTATCTCTATATTTAGACTAACTTATCGTAGGGTTTATATTAAAAGATTTATACTTTAAGGACTAGGCCTAGGTTATAGAGCCTATTAGCCTCCTTTAAGGTACTAACCCTAATAAGTATAGTCGTTGCTATCGATATCTTAGATTAAGGGTATAGCGCTTAGGCCTAAAGGACCTTAACTTTATTCGCCTCTATAATCTTATAGAGTAATCGCTCCCTATTTACTATCGCTACCCTTAAGGGGATATTCTTAGCGACTACTATATATATATAGTAGGTAATTATAGCCTCCGGACTAAATATAGCCTTAACCTAGCCTTAGTCCCTTTAGTAAGCTCTTACTAAGGTATTAAATATAACCGCGATATCTCTACTTTAAAGGCGCCTCGCCGCTATAGCGCTTATAGCTTTTAGGGCCGCGTTTACCGCCTTAACTATATCCTTTAGTTTATAGCTTAGGATTTTATATAGTGCCTTAGTAAGGACTACGATAATCTCGTATTTATAGCGCGGTAGGACCTATTTTACTATAGCTTTATATTAAGTCGGTCCCTTAGTCTTAGCTATAACTACGGCCTAGGTTCGCTTTAGACCCCCTAGGCCTAAAGCGATGCCTAGGCGGAGTTCTTCCTTAACTGCTTCCTTAATTACTTCCTAGATTATTATCTTAAAGCTCTTATCTATATAGAGTACCGCCGATAACGCGCTACTAGTAAGGCTCTTTACCTTAAAGAGCCGTTCGACTACTACCTATACCCTACTAAACTATACGCTTACGATAAAGCCCGCTAGTTTATTATATACTACTTTTTCTATAGGGTCGCTCGGCGCCTAAGTAAGTATTATATCGCTACTTTAGGTTTATTAACTCGCCCTATTAAGGTATATAAATTCAGGTAGCGTCTCTTCGCGCTATATACTTTAGTCGAGCCTAGTATATTAAGGGCTACTACTATATCTACCTACCCCTTAGCCTTAGCGTAATATTATTACTAAGGGTAATTAATACCGCTAAATTAATTCTTAGTATTAGTTAGTATTTTAGTCGCGATATATACCCGCTATAGGTATATATTAGTTTCGCGAAAAGTTTTTCTTTTAATATAATAGTAATCCTAAAAATCTTTTCTAGGATAATAATATCTTTAGAAATTATTACCTTTCTTTTAGAAAAGTTATATATTTTATAAGTATTTTTAGTATAGCTTATAATAATACCCTTATAAGCTCTTATTTCTAGCTTATTTAAGGGGTCTTTATTTTTATAATAAATAGTACTTTTAAAGGTCTTACTTTTCTCTAAGTCTTTTAAGGCTAAAGATTTATTTTCCTTCTTTTTTATAGGAGTTTAGAAGCCTATTTATAAGTAAGGGGTCTTATTATATAAATAGGCTGCTATTAAAATAGCTTCTCCTTATAGATATTTAGGTAGTTTTACCGTAAATAAAATAGCTTAGACTTTATTTAAAATAGTCCTATTAATCCTTTTTATTACTCCGTTTAATTCGGGAGTCCTAGGAGGGCTAGTATAATATTTAATTCCCTTTCTTAAGTAGTAGGGCTTTATTTTATATAGGAATTCTTTTACGTTATCTAAAAAGACTTCCTTTAAAGTAATATTATACCGGTTATTTTTAACTAAAGCTTTATATTCTAAGAACTTA